TGGCCTGCAACATAGCGATGGCCTGCAACATAGCGATGGCCTGCAACCTAATAGCGTTGGCCTCCAACTTTGTAGCGATGGCCCCCAACCTAATAGCAATAGCCAACCTAATAGCGATGGCCTCCAACCTCATAGCATGTCCTCCAACCTAATAGCGATTGCCTCCAAGCTAATAGCGATGGCAACCTCATAGCGATGGCCTCCAACCTAATAGCAATGGCCTCCAAGCTAATAGCGATGGCCTCCAACCTCATAGCGATTGCCTCCAGCCTGATAGCGATGGCCTTCAACCTCATAGCGATGGCCTCCAACCTAATAGCGATGGCCTCCAACCTCATAGCGATGGCCTCCAACCTCATAGCAATGGCCTCCAACCTAGTAGCGATGGCCTCCAACCTGTAGCGATGGCCTCCCCTCCCCTATAGGATCCTTTAGAATGATCCAAATCTTCTTTATTGCACTCAGATGAAAAGATTTTCAAAGCTGCTTTGCCGACTCTGAGGGCCCTGCTCTGACTGCACAATGACTTTTCCATCCTAGCACTCGTGCACTTGCAGAATTATGAGGAAAGCACCTCACAGACTCTGAGGGATTCTAAGCTTCTGACCGATGTAGCATTGGAAAACAGACGGTGCATGTCTTCAATGTCTAGAATGCTGATGCTGTACCTGTGATGCAAACGACCCAAAACCTTGCTGGGAAATCTACTGTAGAACAAACCTCAAGCTCGTGCAAGCAAGCTCCACAAGAACATCCATGCCCTTCAAACAACCCAAGCACCGGATAATGAAGACGCATTCGTTTTTCCCGAATGGATGTGCTGCACACTTCTTGGCTAATCGGCGGAGTTGTACAGCTTCAGAGTCAACACCTAAGTGACATATATATATATATTTATTTATATATAATTGAGATATGTTGAGACGGGGTTCTGTTTCCGTACATAGGGATCCCGATCTTGTGAGGAAGTATCTAAACTTCTCAAACCATTTCTCGCATTCCTCTCGCTCTCTCACAAGAAAAGACTGAACAAGTTATGAGCTCTGGGCCCAGGGTTTCTAGATCGAACGCCCGAATCAATGAGTCACCTGCTCAAGCGACAGTCAAGTGACAAGTGGGACCGACTCAACTCTGGCCGCAATCGACGCATGAGGCAAAATCTTGGGGCAATCAGGTGAGAATGTCGGAGACTCTCTCTACTTATATTATAAGTATGTAATTTATGTAATTATATAATATTCTATATATAGTTATATGATATATTATGATATCCTACTGAGGAGTGCAGCAGGCCTGCCTGCAAGATGGCCAGCCTATCAAAAAGGCTCTCCACTCAAAGCGGCCCGAACGACGGCGACAGCATTCACAAATACATAGAAACAACACAAAAGCTAGAGCCAAATGCAAATTCAACTAGGTGATGTTGGGGCTCTGAGTCTAAGATGAACATGCCTGATGGTCGATGAAGGAAGCCCTCATCCGAGACAATCCTCCTGTTTGTACCTGGGGTAGTGATTCTTTTGTCTTCTTCGCCCTTCAGACCTTCAAACTGCAGACAATGACAATTCATTCTTTCTCGGAGCCTGGATAAGGGTAGTCAATCTCAAGGGTGACATGACCTGGATGGTTGAACACACTGTGAACTCAAAGAGCAACTCTGCAACGAGACTGCCCTGCCGAAACGCACTGAAGCTTTTCTGGGGTGGAAGTTTCCTTGAAGAATTGAAGCTTCCACGTGGCTTACGTGGCTTACTCAGGTGCTAGCGAAGTCTTTCTCCTTGCTACATCTTACATCACTTACATCTTACTACATCTTACTACTACCTACCCAGCCCTTCGTACTTCTTGCAGCTAACCAAGAATAATTACAGTACACAGTAGGAAGCAACTTCAACGTTGCCTGCAGTCGCTTCGTCGAACCCCAGTTGTTCACAATGGTGAGCTTCCAGTAGCACGCCTCAGTGCAAGACTCAGATTTGGGTTAGACTTGAAACATCTTGAAACACCAAAAGCCTCTAATAAACTGTCTGGCCAAACCCTTCTTGCCTGGTTCTAAGAAGTTTTTGAGTTTTATTGGCCAGTGTGGGCCTCTCTCGGGCTCTGGCTTCAGGTGGTGGCTGGGCTGGTTCGAGGATAGATGCCAGTGTCACCTGAACGGAACAAGCAAGGAAACGCGCAGTATATTTCAGCGAACTAGCAAGGAAAACTCAAAATTCCAAGTCTCCAAACAACACCACTCTTTGCAGGATCGAGCTCGTCACAAAGCCGTTGGGCCTGGCAATGGCAACTGGGATGCGAAAGATTACAAGGGATCTGCTGGCACCTCCTGGCACCATGACGGCAGGCCATGGTCTCAGCAGCCAGAGTGGGAATGCGAACTAATTACTAATGCACGTTGCCCAGTGTACCACAGGTTATGCCAAATCAAGGCATCTCCGAGGCACGTACTAGGATGGAACCTGAGGCCACACAGCCATGTTTCACTGTGAAACTCTCGAAAATTACTTGATGTATCGCCCGCCCGAAACTCCACATTGACAATTGGTCGAAATCTTGAAACATTTGGCTCCACCACTTAATTCTCGCGCAAGAATCATGTGCTTATATATTTATTCTGGAACAATGTTGAATTTGTCTACATGAGGATGGTGCCTGTGTTCTCACGCTCAGTGTTTCAGTGGTTTTCAGACCTGTCCAGCTCTTGAAACTGTGGAACTTTCTCCACGGTAGTTTCAGATATAAGTACGGGAATGAACAGTGTCTCAAGACACGAGATTCTGAAGGGTGTGGGATGGTGTGTAACCCATCTTGCGTAAAATTGGGATCATTGGGCCCGACATACAATGGTGCGGTGGCGTGTAGAGATCAAAATGACATGTTTTGCTGTGGAAAGTCCTCATGCTACGCACATCTAACACCAAAACAGTGCAACTGATTCAAAAATGCTCAACCACTTTGGAAATAGCTCCAATCTGATTAGTTTCACATGTCTTTGCCTTGATGCGACCTGTTTACATCACAAGCAACTGAAACCAACTGAAACCTGTCCTGACATCTAAAAATTATCCAAAGACCTGTTGCACAGGTATGCACAAAAGTTTTGTAGTGGTTTTTCTACAAAGCCAAGTCTGACTAAGACAGCACCCACTTTGCACGCCACAGGTTTCGACAAACTTTGGTCGAACAGCACTCTTGTTCTAGAGCCCAATGCAGGTTTAACAGGGTGACAAAAAAAATCATCCAGTTGGAGCTTTATCTGCGCCAGATCTAGCACGACGCATTACAGTTGTGATGACGCTGCTTTGCAAGGTTACCAAACGCAATTCAACGTGTTCTCATACTGGTAGGTTTTTACTGCATACCCTTGAGGAGGGTCAGGCGTAAAAGTTTCACAAATTCAAGATAACGAACGCACGGTCTGACTTCACATGCCCTGACGAAATCTCGGTGGGGAAGAACACCCAAATAGTGCACTGAATTCCTGTAGTGCACTTGACTTGAATCCCTGAAGGGCATTTGAGCCCAGTAGGGCACTTGACTCGGAGCCGTTGACTCATTGGAAACAACGTGTTGGAACAGCTTGTGAACACCACACCTTTGCTGCAAGTACGCATCCATGGCCAATGGATGCTTCCCTCTCTGGGAAATAGCTTAGTTGGACAGAGTGGGATCGGAGAGCTCTGGACCCTGCTAAGTCTAGCAGAATCCGCAAAGACACATGGCTCCAGGGTGCGCACGCACACTTAGAGCAATGCTCGCAAGAGCTGTATCAGTTATGACTTTCCCGTGAAGCTAGCACTTTACGTCTAGTTACCACAATACCCAACTAGAGCGCTGAAGCCTGAAAACTGTAAATGGCCCTGTGAGGAACGGAATGGCGAGAGAGTCCGCTGAACAATATTGCTTAACTCATCGAAATGGACTTAAAAGTTGTTGCAGGTACGTGGAAGTGGTGTCCCACTTCCATATTATCCTCAGATACATCGCCAGCTTCGTTGACCAGGCGACGATGTATCCTGCCTGGTGTAAACTACGACCCCTGCTTGGCTGTAGAGCAGAAGTTGACGGAAAAAGCCACTAGGTGGGGTCTCTGTAACGGTGTACAGGAGTGGAAAATTTGAAAACTAGCTTCTAGGTGAGCCACGCTCCGACATTGGTTTGCTGTTTACTCAATTCCCAGGTCAAAAGTGGTGAGAGAACGGCAAGGTGAAAAGTCCGTAAAATTGTAGATGTTTGAACAAGTTGTTTTTTGCGCATCTGCAGAACGCACGACTGCAGCTCACGGCGGCTCAGTGGCTGAAAGTGGTGAAGGGTTTAGGGGAACGTATCATGAAGGACCATGAATCAAAACGCGAAAAGTGGAGTCACAGCTTGAAATCGTTCAGCAGGTACACATCCATGGCCAGTGGATGCTTCCCTCTCTGATGCATAGCTTCGTTGGACAGAGTAGCATCAGAGAGCTCTGTCCCCCTGCTTATGAGATGGAAAGCCGAGAAGCACCCTTTGGAACAGGGGTTGACACACACACGGTGCCGCTTGGCGGCGCTCGCGTGGAAAGCCTGAATAGATACCTAAAAAGCCTTAGAAACAAAAGAAAGAAACACAGAAAGAGCAGCGCTAAGAGGGCAAGAGAGAACGATAGGTGTAGAAAAAAGAAAATGAATACTTAGCCCTTGACTGGGGTAGGGAAACGAGCCTCAAGAGCAACCTAAAAAGCCTGAGAGAAAGCCCAACAAACGACGAAAAGCGCAAGAAGGAAAAGGGGGGGCAGGGAGGGGGTGTATGTCCATGTGTGTGTGTGTGTTTGAATACCTAGCACTCTAGAATTACTGAATACTTAGACGAAGTGAATTAAGTGCACTAGTTAGGGAGCGGGACTTTGGTCTTACACCGCCCGGGTGGAGTAGACTAGAAAAGGGACAACAGAGGGAAAGGCACCGACACACAAGTGTGTCGAGTACCATATCCCTATGTTACCCTAATTAGGTAGGGAGTAGAACACCGTGGGGGGGGGGGTCGAGAGACCTGCCTCAAGTGGGGGGAATGCCGTTTTTAAGCCCGGCGGCTGTCAAATTCGTTTTTAAGCCCGACGGCTGTTGGGTCAGTTAATTCAGTTACGCAAGTGGAGAAGGTGAAATCAGTTATCAAAAATGGAAACGATGATTTCCCGAATGGCTTCAGCGCCCCAGTGAAGGGGATCACACCCAGCACCCAAGTGGGACGGCTGAGCGGCTCACACTCTGACATTGGTTTGCTGTTTACTCAATTCCCAGGTCAAAAATGGTGAGAGAACGGCAAGGTGAAAAGTCCGTAAAATTGTAGATGTTTGAACAAGTGGTTTTTTGCGCATCTGCAGAACGCACGACGGCAGCTCACGGCGGCTCAGTGGCTGAAAGTGGTGAAGGGTTTAGGGGAACGTATCATGAAGGACCATGAATCAAAACGCGAAAAGTGGAGTCACAGCTTGAAATCGTTCAGCAGGTACACATCCATGGCCAGTGGATGCTTCCCTCTCTGATGCATAGCTTCGTTGGACAGAGAGCTCTGTCCCCCTGCTTATGAGATGGAAAGCCGAGAAGCACCCTTCGGAACAGGGGTTGACACACACACACATGCACACACGCCCTGTGTAGGGGGCGATAACCACAATGTTGCCTGGAAGGTACATGTGCACCGACAGCCGGAAGGACGTCAAAAGGAGAGACATGAAAAGGGACAAGAGCGTTTCAAGGTGAAATGAAGGGAAGAGTGAACAGGGCCGCGCCATGCCGTGCCTGTTTCTAAGACATGAAAGTCTAGTTTGCTGGCAAAGGTCCGAATGACTGCGCAAGAGAAAAGGGAATAAAATGAGAAGACATGATACGTGAACAGAAAACAGGAAAGGCGCACAAGACGATGGAAAGGGACCAAGTGAAAAAGGATCAGCCAGAAAAGAAACCAAGCCTTATTTTGCACACCTGGGGAACTTGCCGTTTTAAGTTTGTAGGTACGCCACGCGAAGGAGGCGGGAAAAGAAAAGGAACCGGAAGAGGAGAAGAAAAGAAAGGAAAGAGAACGAAAGATAAAAGAAGGAAACATGACGCTCCCCGCTATAGGACAAAGCTCCAGGAACACCCCGGTGGGAAAACGCAAGAAAAAGAAGAACGAAGACAAAAGAAAAGAAGGAAAGAAGCGGGGCACATCACAAAGAAAGAAAGAAAGAAAGAACGAAACATAGAGAGCATGAGCAGGGTGAGAGTGGCCCCCAGCTATGTCCCAAGCATCCAGGGATGCCCCAAGACAGAAGGAAAAGGAAAAGAGAGAGAGAGAGACCCAGAAAGCTCAGGTCGGCACGAGATCCATTTGGATCTTAAAAAGGAACCTGGGCCTTGTCCTATGAACTGCTCCAAGTTCGTATGAAAACAAAGTGGCTGCGACATTTGTGTAAAGTTCCTGTCGCCCGCTGTGGACACGTTTCGTTACAGTAACAGACTGCATCCACCGGTGAGGCCGATCCACGGCAAGCACTCTTCAAAGAGAGACACACTTAAGATAGATCAATAAAGTGCATACGATCTGACTTCAAAAGCCCTGACAAAACCTAAGTGCACCTAAGTAGTGCACTGAATCCCTGTAGCCCAAACGGAACTTGACTTGAATCCCTGAAGGGCACTTGAACCCCTGTAGCGCACTTGACTCCAAGCCGTTGATTCATTGGAAACAACGTGTTGGAACAGCTTGTGAATACTGTGAACACACCTGTGACGCAGGTGCGCAGTGGATACTTCCCTCTCTGATGCATAGCTTCGTTGGACAGAGTAGCATCAGAGAGCTCTGTCCCCCTGCTAAAATCTGACAGAGCCGAAGATACCCATGACGACTCCAGGGTGTATATACACACACATTATCTGTCAGCCTTCAAGCATTGCTAGTGTGCAGGGAATTCAGCTCCGGGTCCTTGTCTCACCAAGAAAATATTTGACTCGAGACAAGAACATTCACCGTGGACTCCCAAGCACATCGGGGGACCTGCATTGGAAAGCATACAATTGCGGAGATGAATTGGGCTCTAGGTAAATGCGAAAGCGAAAAGCGCGGCTTTTTGCTGCGTGCGCTTGATCAAGCTAGCGAGCGGAACCGAACATGCCACCAACAACCGGCAAGTACCAGCAACTGCCATCTTCCACATTGGGAAGGAAGGATGTTGGCTTGTTCGGATTTAGTGAATTAGGGATCTGGCGCAGCCAAATCCGCTTTTCTGAAATGGCTCAGCCAAAAGGAGTTACACTGGCGCTGCCAGAATTTTTGTTTTGGCTCTGCCATGTGTCTTTCTGCTGGCTCTGCCATGAAGTGGTTGAGGTCGAAGATGCAATTGCTTTGATCGAACCTTTCGACGTTCTCGTTGCCCTTTAAAGCGATGCTCTTCGATCTCGCGTTCCTCCGGTGTCTCTTTGAGGCTTATGGTCTTTTTCCGCAAGTA